TGGGAGTTGGAGAATCTGTTCCCAAGATCGCTCACATAGTTGTCAGCAGGCCTAATTCCTTACTGTTTATTAGCCAGAGGCTTCCTTCCCCGCAACAGGAATATATCTCATTAGCGAGTTTAAAAATGAGATCACACCATATAGGGCTTTCTTTTTTTTTTTTTTTTTCACTCACCAACATATTGTAAAGATTTTTCCATATAACTAAACATGTCTAACCATCAATTTTTAAAGGCTTTGTATACAAAATGCCACCTTGAAAAGACAGATTTCTTTAGGCAAATCAACTGAAATTGTGAAATACTTTCCCGCTTTAATTTATGCAGTAAAACAGGGAAACTTGATTCACCACGATGGCTGTCAGCTACTATAGAAAAAGTGAAATTTGTGTTTTTGACAGCAGAGCTCTTACGTACAATATAGTACTATATACTATTATTTACCTTCTTTTTTGTAATTACAAGATAAAGAATGTTTAAAACTTGATATTCTACAAAAATTAAGTACTCTTTATTTAGTGCCAAATGCAAGTTAATATGAATAATTCATTATTGTAGTGAAGGAGAAACATTTCAGCCATTGAAAATTTCTTCCTGACTTGCCTGGATTATGGTCTTTCTTCTTCTTCTTCTTCTTCTTCTTCTTCTTCTTCTTCTTCTTCTTCTTCTTCTTCTTTTCTTTTTTGGTAAGGTGTCATGAGAGTGAGAAATGTCTGCCAAGGGAAGGGGGAAAAGTTTCTCCTATCTCTGACTTTCACACAAAGGCATCCTACTTAGAGACTCTTTTATTATTTGTTCGGGGGGGGGGGGGGGGACAAAGCTCATCCAGCAGGTTTGCACTGGTGCTTGCATGCAGTCGCATCGCTGTGTATGTGAAATTGGCTTAAAAGAGCCCCAAGCGAGTTGCCATTACAAACACAAATCCTACACCTTGGGAAAAAGGAAGTCAATCAGATGAATACCTTCAAACTGATGTTTCAGGCGTGAGATCACTTTAGGGAAAATGGATCCCAGCAGGGAGTTGGGGGGGGGGGCTCTAAAGAGAAGTTAAGACTTGAAAAACAGCCACAAAAAATTGCAGCTATTCCAAGAGGATTTAACTTGAGATAAAACAAATTCTTCATGTTATCTGTTTAAAAAGTCATTTGATTATAGATGCATATATACATATACATTTTGTTTTTGAGATACAGGAAGGTATAGAATTATAGGACTTCCCAGTGCATCACTCCTTGTGATATCTCTAATTTCTTGTTTTGCTCTCCTTTACTGAAAGATTGGTAATAGACTAGAATACACAATGTTTATAATTTTTTTCATGCTTTCCACCAACATCACTCACGTAAGAGTTATGTGAATTTTCTCTAAATTCTAATCTAAGTCTTTTATTATTATTATTTTTTCTAATCTAAGTCTTTAATTGGTTTTGATTTGGCATAATTCTTTACATGCTCTCAGTGGAATACTCTTGAAGAGTTGGACTATAACCTGTGGAATATAGCTTTCACAGGTCAAGTTACAGAAATCTATTTATGAGGTATAAGCCAGAGCGTTATTGTAGGAAGTTTCTGCAGGTCCAGAATCTGTATTGCCTAGAACAATATTTAGGATTTATCCTCCTTTTTTTTTTTTTAGGATTTGGCTTCTAATTCTGATTTTTATCTTTTTATTTTTATTTTTTAATTCTGATTTTTAAAAACTAGTTGTAAGACGGAACCTGGCATTCATTACAGCAATATATTCCATACTGTTATGAATATTATGGCTGACTACTTCATAAGAATTTGTGATTTTTGGGCAATTAGTGGAAGTTAAGAATGAGCTAAGTTTTTTTTTTTTCTTTAGCAGCTGGAGGGTCGATTCATTTAATGCTCTTCAGAAAACACCGCAGGAGTAGAGTCTAGCCCAGAACCAGGAGCCAAACACCATTTCCATTTATTCAGCTCATATGAATGTTATAGGAAGTAACTTATAGGCGCTAAACATTTGATGTAAAAATAAAAATTCATTTAAAACTGGCCTTGAGTCTAAAGTTCATTTTAACAATTTTATTACTTCAACTAGGATAAAATATATAATTAACTATAAATAATGTATAAATAGCATGTAAAAATAACAATGTTTGAGAAGTCTCCCAAATAATGAAGCAATTATGCACAATAAAGAGAAATACAGGGGCACCTGGGTGGCTCAGTTGGTGAAGCATCTGCCTTCAGATCAGGTCATGATCCCAGGGTCCTGGGAAGGAGCCCTGTGGGGCTCCCTGCTCAGCGGGGAGTCTGCTTCTCCCTTTCCCTCTGCCCTTCCCCCAAGCTCATGCTCTCATGCTTTCTCTCACTTTCTCTCAAGGGAATAAATAAAAATCTTTAAAAAAGAGAAAGAAGAATACACATAGAAGGCTGTAGTAGGGTGTTTAGGGTGTTTCTCTGCATATAACTTTAGGTTAACAACCTTTCTCAAGACTAACTTAGGCTCAAAGAGCATACTTACCCGTAACTTTAACATTTCAACATTTCAAAACTTGGCACAAGCCTTAAAGTAGAAGTTTTGAATGCATTAAGTGGTTAATCTTTTTTTCCTCCTGGCACAAGATTTATTTTTGCCAATAATACTTCCAGTTACTAGTTGGTGCTTCCCAAAAGAGAACTAATCAATGGTTCTATTACTGTTTTCCTTCTTAAAGACTTTAAGATCAGTGACCCTACTGGCCAATTTTCAAAGAATGTGGTTCAGGCTTAGTGAGGCTCTTGACAAAGCTCTTCCTGCTGTGCAGCCAGTTGTGGCCAGGACACAGAGCTTGCGCAGCCAGCATAGCACCCAGACCACAGAAGGTCTGCCTCATAGTGACCCGGCGCCTTCCCTGCTGCCCAGGCTCAGCATTTAGAGTAAATGCTTCCTATTTGCTGGGCCACACATATCCAAACACGCCATACACTAGGGCTCTCTGGGTAACGAATACTGTTCTTCTTCTTCTTCTTCTTTTTTTTTTTTTTTTGGAAAACTGTTCTTTATTTTATTTTTTTTTAAACTTTTTTTTTTATTTATTTATGATAGTCACAGAGAGAGAGAGAGAGAGAGGCAGAGACACGGGCAGAGGGAGAAGCAGGCTCCATGCACCGGGAGCCCGACGTGGGATTCGATCCCGGGTCTCCAGGATCGCGCCCTGGGCCAAAGGCAGGCGCCAAACCGCTGCGCCACCCAGGGATCCCGAAAACTGTTCTTTAAACAGCACCTTGACATTTTACTTCTGTCCATTTGTTCCCTTTTTCTTTTTCATTTCCATTTTGCTTTATGTTTTTTATTCTGCAACTTAGTTTGAAAGCTTGAGACCCCCCCCCCCCCACAGCAGTTTAAAACCTGCTTAAAACCAATCTTCTCTCTTTGTTTCCCAGTACTTGGAGAATCCTGGGGGTTCTTTATCAAGAAAAATTCATTATTGGGTAGTTTAGCTCCCTTTGCAGGATAGGCTCATTTTTCTCTCAGCTACCCATAAGACATGTCTTAAATTTTCCTTCAGAATAGAGTTCTTCTGGGCAAATTCGCGGCTAACTGACTCATCAGAGATATTCTGTTAAGTCAAACTAAAAATTAAATGAAGTTATAAAGCAAATTGAAAGAGTGCCACATTGGAAGTTTGGGACTGGGCCTCCGGTTCCGCCTCTACAACTTGCTAGGGGTGCCTCATCTTGATTAGCTTGGTCTTGACTGAATCTCAGTTTCCACACATCTTTTACTTAACATTTAGCAATGTAAATTATATATAATCAATATGTTGATAACTAATCAATACATAAACTAACATTTATCAAAAAAGAAATATTTATCAGATATATACAATATGTACACCAACACATGTATGGATAGTTATGAACACAAAATTGAATTATCTAAAACATAAGATTATATATCGTATAATAACTATATTCATAATATAATTATATTAGATATTATGTGATAAGATTACACAGTCTCTACATAATATAAAGAGAGTATATCATTTTCTCCTTCTTCTTCTTTTTACATATTTTATTCTTGTAGTTGCATTACGTGTTGGGCTGGGTTCTAGACATCTGGTTTTCTCCCAGTTTTTCTCTTTGCAATGCCTCATCCAGAGGGAAGGCCCTTCCCGCTGTAGGAGAGTTAGTGCAGTACCAGAAAGAAACTAGTGTGTTTAATAAATGCAATAGGGGGGGATCCCTGGGTGGCGCAGCGGTTTGGCGCCTGCCTTTGGCCCAGGGTGCGATCCTGGAGACCCGGGATCGAATCCCACGTCGGGCTCCCGGTGCATGGGGCCTGCTTCTCCCTCTGCCTGTGTCTCTGCCTCTCTCTCTCTCTCTGTGACTATCATAAATAAATAAAAATTAAAAAAAATAAATAAATGCAATAGGGCAGCCGGGGTGGCTAAGCTGTCTGGCACCACCTTCCACCCAGGGTGTGATCCTGGAGACCCGGGATGGAGTCCTATGTTGGGCTCCCTGCATGGGGCCTGCTTCTCTCTCTGCCTCTCTCTCTCTCTCTGTGTCTCTCATGAATAAATAAATAAAATCTTTTTAAAAAATAAATGCAATAGAGCAGCCTAACTCTTATTACATACTTCAGATGTCACAAGCTCTTAGAGTTTAAACCACATAGGCATTCAATGTTCATGCCATCTGGATATGAGCTCGGCCCTGGAAACAGGAAGATCCTTGAGAGATGATGAGATCCTTCATTGACTCCCATCATTTTGGGGGCTCACATCTTCACTTTGCAGATGAGAAAACAGGCCCAGGGTTCGGCCTCTCCGCGGAGGTAAGGGGTCGCTGACCCCTCCAGGCGGCCTACTGGCAGCCAGACCTTTTGCAAGCCTGTTTTCAGAGCCCCGCGGTGGGGGTTCCTTCCTAGCGGGCCCGGGGGGAGGGGTGGGGTGGGGCGGATGGAGGTGCCCCCGCCCCCACCCCCACCCCGGGGCTAGGGGTTAAGCGCAGCCCCGCCCGCCCGGCCCTTCCCAGCGCGGCGGGCATGGGCTGCGGCGCCAGCACCAAGGTGACCCCGGGGGCGCCCGAGAGGGTCCCGGGCGGGCAGGAGCGCGAGGGCCGCGGCAGCTCCGGGGGCCCCGGGCCCGAGGCGGTGGCCGAGGCGGCTCGCAGGATGCAGGTGGCCCGCTTCCGCGCCCACTTCCACCCCCGCGTCCTGGCCAGGTAAGGTGCAGGGCCCCGGCGGCGGGGCCCGGGCGGGGAAGACCAAGCCCGCGCCCCTCTGGACCCCCGAACCCTCCCCCGAGGCCCGATTAAACCCCAGGCGGCCTGCTTTGGGATGCAAGGCCCCTGAGGGCCCTAAGTTCTTTCTCTAACTCCTTTGAGATGTAAAAGTCTTGCAGGAAGGTCTTTCCCCGAGGACAGGAGCACCCTCCCCTTGAAATGCAATCAGGGGGCCGCTTCCTCCCGGTCTCTGCCCACCTTGGGCCGGCACCTGTCGGACCGGCTCCCTCCTCAGGCCCTTCCTCTAGGACTCCTCTTCTACTAGCTCGCCCAGTGCTGAAAACTGGCCTCTGGTCTCAACGGGGCTGAAGCCAGTCCCCCTCCCCTGCTGCCATAGCTTGGACTCCAGTCCTGATAGTCTTGGGACAGAGTCTTCCTCATGGTTTTTAAACAAGTGTTGGGGCAGATTCTGTTTGACCCTCTGAGCAGGGAGGGCAGAGGAGTGGGAAGATTCCAGACTGAAAGTAGAGGAGGGACAGGAGCAAGGAAAGAGGGAGAATCTGGGACTTCAGAACTGGGGAAGGAAGGAGAGGGCCCCCCAAGCCCTACGCGGTTGATGGGGGCCTTGCCACAGATATGCTGGGGCTGGGTCCAGACAGGCCTGTTTGTGAAGGATCTTCACCACATTCTGGAAGAGGAGACGGTAATTCATAGAATAGAAATAAGGCTTTGAGTCAGCCAGACTTGAGATCCACTCCTGTGTCTTTTATCATGTGTCTGGATGACCAGAGTGTTCCTTAGCCTCTCTCCTTCCTCAGTTTTGGTCTCAGTAAAGTGGGAATAATCATAATATCTACCCCATATGAATGTTGTGAGGATAATTAAAATGATACATTCAAATTGTGCTGCTTAGTACATGAGTCAAGTCTTTTTTTTTTAAGATTTTATTTATTTATTCATGAGAGACACAGAGAGGCAGAGAGACACAGGCAGAGGGAGAAGCAGGCTCCATGCAGGGAGCCTGATGTGGTACTTGATCCTGGGACCCCAGGATCATGCCCCGAGTCAAAGGCAGATGCTCAACCGCTGAGCCACCCAGGCATCCCAAATCAAGTCTTTACTGAGCTAAGGTGCACATAAGACCTAGCTGACCCCTATGTACGAAATGAGCAGGGATGATAGGTTGGTTGGTCTGAAAAAATAACTTCCGCAGAGTGTACCATGGCAGACATACAGAGGAAGAGAATCATGAAATCCTCTTCCACCCTGCAGGGCTTGGTGGGTGGCTCATCTGGCTTCTCAGGGACATTTCCAGCTCTTGAATTGTATGCTCACTTCCCTGCAGTGCTGTGAATAGAGTCTGTGCAGAGCCACTTCTTGGCCTACGGGGGAACTTCTAATACAAGGAGACCTTGTGGATTAGTCCAGTAGCTGCTAAGCATGGAAACAAAGTAGTCTGATCCAATTGTACCTAAATCAGAATGGACATGGGAGGAATCTTATCACTTCTGAATTGGTTAGATGGCATCTCTGGTCATCTGTAGCCAGAGAAATGAGGCTGCTGTGGTCTAGTCTTACCCACTCTCATAAACTCCATGTGCAGGGTAGTCCCAGTTGTTTAGAGTGTGCAGGGGTCATAGACGGGGAAGGTCACAACATTGTAAGGGCTCTAGCGACTGACTCAAGGCTCTTGACCCGATGAAGAGTTAACCCCCAGATGATAAAGTGACTTGTTCAAGTCAGTGGCAGACTTGAGTCTCAAATACTGTTGTCTTTCTTCTCCAATGTGACTCTATTTATAACTCTTGCAGAATAGCGATGATAGAATTTAAATCTGACTATATGCACTTTCTTCTTGGGAGTTCATTATAATTGCTTCTATCAAATAGGTTGTGATATTATTATTGTTTCCGTGTTTCATTTTTGTATGCATGTTCAAAAAATTCCCAGTCTGTAGCAGCTGAAGTTAGAGTCATGATTTCAATTCTGAGGATTATGTAAAATTGCACCACCTACAAAATTAACTTTGAGGGTCGGGCGGTGTGTAGGAGCAGAAGAGTGGAAGGGAAAGGAATGGAATGGCCTTGTAAATGCCTTCTCCAATGCTTGATTTGATCCTTAATGTTTTCAAAATATAAGTGATAATTTGGAAATAATATGTATTTAGTGAGTGATTCTTTCATTCAACATTTATTGCTGTACCCTCTGGGCCAGGCGCTGCACAAGATATAGCCACTCAAGTCATAAAAATAGTTACCATCCATGGCCATCAAGCAAGGCTGCAGTTACAGGAATTTGTTATGGGACATTTGTTGTTCAATCAGAAACCATTTATTTCCAGTACTCTACATTTTGGCTTTAAGCCTACGGTTTCTTTCAATGCCAAATGACTAGCATTTTTTCAAGTATTTGGTATATGAGGGCCCCTTAGCAGCATTGAATAAAGCTCCTTTTATTTAAACAAAAGAATGTAGTTCCTCAGAGACGGTAATGCAGCTGATAATGGATGATTAATTCCATGAACAAATGAATTTGCCTGCAGTTTTGAAGGCGTAGTGAAAAATTAGTACATGCAAAGTGCTTTCATCCACATTAGAGGTAAATGTAAATTTTGGTCGGTCTGCAAAGCAGTAGCATTTGAAATGCCTGTGATTATCTTCAAAATCAACCTGAGTGAAGTAAGTCAATCGGAGAAGGACAAACAGTGTATGTTCTCACTTATTTGGGGAATATGAATAATAGTGAAGGGGAATATAAGGGAAGGGAGAAGAAATGTGTGGGAGATATCAGAAAGGGACACAGAACATAAAGACTTCTAACTCTGGGAAATGAACTAGGGGTGGTGGAAGGGGAGGAGGGCGGGGGGTGGGGGTGAATGGGTGACGGGCACGGAGGGGGACACTTGACGGGATGAGCACTGGGTGTTATTCTGTATGTTGGTAAATTGAACACCAATAAAAATTAATTTATAAAAAAAAAAATCAACCTGAGCGTGCACGTGAATAAAAAAGCAAAGTTGGAAAGAGAAGAGGCAACAGAATCTATTTAAGATGAGTAAATTGCTGTCTGTTTTGATAAAGTAATTGGCCAGAAAATTAAATGCATTGCATAGAACAAAGCTGTTTTCTGTAAGCCAGTGCAGCCAAATGCCATTTTTATTCAGGAAGCATAGAAATATAAGGAACAGAGAGGTAGGGGGGAAAATCACTGGAAGAATGAACTCAGCAAAAAATAAGTAAGGCTATTTACAACACAGATTTATATTTGCATTTGAATCTCTGGTACTGAGTGTGCAGTTGAAAGCATTACCTTTCCCTGCACACTCCCCTCAGCACACTCCACTCCCTGGCCTCCTCTCACAGGAGAAGTTTTAATAAAGGGGAAGAGCAGCAAAATATGATAAAAATAAGGCGACCTGGGTTCTCATCCTCACTCTAGAACTTAATCAGTCTGCTAACCTGATCTTCAGAGTTCCTCATTTGTAAAATGAGGGTTGAATTCGGTCATTCTCTAATATTCCTTCCAGCTGTAAAAATCATGATTCTAAGTGATGCACTTTCTCAACATCTCTCAGATAGGCAGTTAAACTTGATAAAATTCTTAAATTGGCATAGACGTTTACACAGATAGTTCAAGTGTAAGATCACCAGCCTTTGAAATACTAGCTGAGAGATAATGACTTTACACATTAACGTGTATCCCCTGGTAAAATTCTGTTTCTTGGGTAGAAAGTGTAAGTGTAGGGAATAAGCTGGGAGGAAACGGTGGCTCGAACACCCCCCCCCCCATCAGACATGTTTATCAGTGATCATCTGTCAAGGTTGCTATCGTGGGCACAATAGGGCATGTGCGCTCACAATCAAGTAACCTGAAGAAGACTCTTTGTGCCCTGTCTTTTGATATGATTTCCTACCTCTTATGAGAGGCTATAAACAGGACTAGGTTTCTTTTCTGTACTCTTTCCACCTGGGTTGGTTGTTGTTGCAGAATAGTAAAAACAAGGGCTGGAGGGAGGAAAGAAAATGGTAGAAGGTTGTCCCAAAGTTCAAGGGAATTTTGGTGAAACACACTTGAAGGGGTTGGATTTAAATCCTATCCATTTCAACTACCATGTACGTGGCCTTGGGAAATCACTTAACTTATGTTATTCTGCATTTCCTTATCTGAAAAAGGGGGATAGATAGTATTACATTAGCTGATAGGGACATTGTAAGAAGAATTTTTTTTAAAGATTTTTATCTATTCATTCATGAGAGACACAGAGGGAGAGAGAGGCAGAGACAAAGGTAGAGGGAGAAGCAGGCTCCATGCAGGGAACCCGATGTGGGACTTGATCCTGGGATTCCAGGATCACCCCCTGGGCTGAAGGCAGGTGCTAAACTGCTGAGCCACCCAGGGATCCCAAGAATTTTTTTAAAAAAGTAATCTTTTAAAAAAAAGTAATTAAAAAACAATTTTTTACTAAGTAAATTTTTTTAAAAAGTAATTTTTTTAAAAGTAAATTTTCTGGCATACAATAAATATCTAATTAAATGGTAGCTGCTGTTATTAAGATGGTTGTCTTAATAGTTATCTTTCCGCCAACTGATTGCTTTAACATTGCTTACCTCCATTTCAAAGATGAATCTGGGGGAGGGGCTTTCAAATATAATAAATATAATTAAGCAATAGCGAGCAAAAGAATCAGATAGGGAGATGTAAAGATGAAAAGATGATATAAAGCACCAACTCAGATAATTTTTAAGAAACATCACTTCAGAGGATAACAGATTTGGCTTTTCTTCCCAATAGATACGACATCAAGGCTCTTATTGGGACAGGCAATTTCAGCAAGGTTGTCAGGGTGGAGCAGAAGACCACCAAGAAACCTTTTGCAATAAAAGTGGTGGAAACCAGAGTGAGGGAAGGCCGAGAAGCGTGTGATTCAGAGCTCACCATCCTGAGGCGGGTGAGCCACCAGTACATTGTTCAGCTCGTGGAGATCTTTGAGGCCCAGGATCGAGTTTACATGGTGATGGAGTTGGCTACTGGAGGAGAGCTCTTTGACCGACTCATGACTCAGGGATCTTTTACAGAGCACGATGCTGTCAGAATTCTCCAGATGGTTGCTGATGGTATCAGGTATCTGCATGCATTGCGAATAACCCACAGGGACCTAAAACCTGAAAATCTCTTATATTATCATCCGGGTGCCGAGTCAAAGATTTTAATCACAGATTTTGGTTTGGCACATTCTGGGAACAAAAGTGGAGACTGGACAATGAAGACACTCTGTGGGACCCCAGAGTATGTAGCCCCTGAGATTTTGCTAAGGAAACCTTATACCAGTGCAGTGGACATGTGGGCTCTTGGTGTAATCACGTATGTTTTACTTAGTGGAGTCCTGCCTTTTGATGATGAAAGCCATACAAGACTTTACAGGAAGATTCTGAAAGGCAAATATAATTATACGGGAGAGGTAAGAAATAATTTTATTCCTATTGAGTTAACCTAGTGTAGTTTCTCAACCTCAGCACTATTGACATTTAGGGCTGGATGATTTTTTTTTTAACTTTGAAAAAAACCAGGATTTATTAATTTATTACAAGTCCTGGAAGGTGTATGGCATGCCCAGAGCCATGCAGTAAGTTTGTGTGGGGCAGGAGAGATTACCAGATGATTCTTTACAGGGAGGGGAGGGGATGGGATGGGAATGGGGCTGTCCTGTGCATTGCAGGATGTTTAATGGCATACTGGGTGGGTCTCCACGCCAGCCCCCATATGCTACTGGTAGATACTGGTATGTACTGGATATCTAGTAAATACACTAGATTCAACACCTTCCTCAAGTTGCGACAACAAAAATTGTCTCCAGACATTGTTAAATGTCCCCTATGGGGGCAAAATCACCCCTGGCTGAGAGCTCTTGGTCTCAAGGTAGCAAAGGCCTGGATTACTGAGTTGTCTGTGGTTAGCATATGACATTGATAATTAAGTAGACAAGTGAGTTTGTAGTTTTTCTTCTATCAGCTGAGTAGGCTGATGTGTACTCAGAAGCTCAGCATGACCCTTGGGTGTTTGGTGAGAGATTTTCTGCCTTGAATCTAGGTCATCCAAGCCCTTTTGTAATGTAATGTCTCCTCGGTAGGAAATGTTTAATCTCGTAGCTAGTGTAAAATATTTATCTACTCTTTAAACTTGGAACTCCCGGTGTTTATGAATGTGTTCACTTCTTGTTGTTTTGGGGTAGAGAAGGGAAGCTGTGAATGCTTGTGTGTAGGAAGCCTGACAAAAGGGGAAATTCATTTCATGTTCAGCAAGTGACCAAATATAGTGTATGTTAAACTATGAAAGGGTTCTTTGTCTCATGAAGGAAATTTTTGACAGTTTGATGATATCTACTTAAGGTATAACGTCTATATATTTAACATCTTAAGCAAAATCAAAAGTTAAATAACTTTTAATTTAAATCTATATAAGTTAATTTAAATATTATATATTCTGTACTTTGACAAAGCTTTAATATCTTATTGTATATGTATGCATTTTAAAAAACTCCTCCAAATTGGTGATTGAGAACTAAGACTTACATAAGGAAGTGGGAAAGGATGGTGAGGATTCACAGATAATGCAGTACCATTTTATTAAAAGTTGGAAAGATGTCCAGACTCTCTAATAACCAAAAAAATACAAATGAAAACAAAGTCTTGTTTAAAAAATTTTTCAAATTGATAAAGATAAAAAGAAAACCCCTTCAACTCTGTTTATTGCTGCTGAGTACTAAGAGATGAACCATCTCATTTACTGATGATTGAGGGCAGATTTTACAGATTTCTTAGGATGCAATTTTAAAATATATATCTAGAACTTTTAAAAGTTTATATATTTTGATCTAGTAATTCCACTTGTTTGAGTCTTTTTTTTAAAAAGATTTTATTTATTTTTTTTGAGAGACAGAGCACAATTCTATTATTAGAAATATAATTTGTGGCTCCCCACTAAGCAGGGAACCCCTTTTTGGACTCAATCCTAGGACCCACTGAGATCATGACCTGAACAGATGGTAGCTGTCCATCCATCCCATTGAGCCACCCAGGCACCCTTGCACTTCTAGAATCTAAGGAAATAATTCCAGATGCGACAAAGGTTTCAGTATAAAGATGCTCATCTGAGCTACATTTACAGAAGTGGAACATTTTTAAAAACCCTAAAAGAACGTTTGAGTAAATTATGGAACATCCATATGATCAAGTATGATAGCCCCTAAATTATGCCTGCTTAAAAATTGTAGGGATGTTGGAAAATGTTCACAGTATGCTACCAAGTGTAAAAAAAAAAAAGGCAGAACATAAACTATATAGAGAATGTCACAATCATGTGGAAAAATGTATGCATAGGAAAAAGGCTTAAAAGAAATACAGTAAGATGTTAGCAGAACTTCTTTCCTGGTGTGGGGATTATAGATCATTTTGTTTTTTTTCTTTATAGTTCGAATATCTTTCTGTTTCTGTTGTTTATTTATTTACAAAGAATTCATATTTCTGTTTTGATTATAGCTCAGTGACTCTTCCGTCCTACGTGATGTGGGATGGAATTGCAGTCATGGGGCCTTGATTGAGATAATGTCCCTATGGTCCTTCAAATGTCTGATATCTTGGTGGGGGTGGCTGGAAATCTGGGGTCACCTAGGTCACCAGAACCGTCAGGCCTTATTCACCTTCCTCTCTCTTTGCTTCATAGGGCCTTCTCTCCCTGGGGGATTCTTCATGGCATCTTTCCAGCGGAGTAGTAGTAGTTTTACATGGTAGTTTAGGCCTTGCAAAAGGGAGTGTTCCAAGAGGGAGACAGTGGAAGTTGCCAGTGCTTTTCAAGGCTGTGTTTGGAAATGGCACAGCATTACCTCTGTCTCATTCTATTGTGAGTTCTGTGAGCCTTAGGCTAGCCCAGCTTCAATGTGGAAAGAGACCACATAGTCTAAGTACCGGAGGTGTGCTTTATTGGGCCATGTATGGACTGGATATTGCTATTGCTTTTTTAATGTGCAAAAATAATGAGCAATATATTGTTTAAAAAGTCCTTTCATCAGGTTTAATTCTGAAGGTTTCTTTTTTTTTATAAATTTATTTTTTATTGGTGTTCAATTTGCCAACATATAGAATAACACCCAGTGCTCATCCCATCAAGTGCGCACCTCAGTGCCCATCACCCAGTCACCCCCTCCCACCTCCCCTTCCACCACCCTTAGTTCGTTTCCCAGAGTTAGGAGTTTCTCATGTTCTGTCTCCCTTTCTGTTATTTCCCACTCATTTTTTTCTCCTTTCCCCTTTATTCCCTTTCACTATTTTTTATATTCCTCAAATGAATGAGACCATATAATGTTTGTCCTTCAATTCTGAGGGTTTCTAGGGTTGGATTCCCCAAAAGGCTGAGAAATCCCTGAGAAGAAGTTTCATGTTCAAGTGACTTATTAAGAGTCAACTCCCAGGGAGACAGGTCAGGGAGTGGGGCAAGCAGGACTGGGAAGGTGAGGAGGACTAAGCCATAAAGGTCAGCCTCATCTTGCAGGGAAGAATTCTTCAACATTCTTCCAACCCAGGTGAGCTGGATTTTCACACCTACCTCTCTCTGTTAGTCAGTGAGGGTGATGGTGGTGGGGAGTTGGTGGTATATTTTTACATTTTCTGAGGATCAAAGGCAAGTAGCTCCAGGAGCCACAGCACGGCCATTGAAAAAAAAGCAAGGTGTTGGGTTTTAGAAGCAAAGTACTCCAAAGGAAGGGGGTGTGTGTACATACAGAAAAGAGGAGCTCAGAATCCGGATGGAGCATTGACATTGTCTCCACAGTGGCACCCTCCACTTCTTGAGGAGATGCTTGTTTGTAGCCTCAGACAACATGCAACGCAGATTGCCAGATTGTGAAATACATTACTGGATTTATAGCGCATTGGCTTTCTTTCCTGTGTTTGTCAGGCACCTATGTCCATCATATTCACGTTCTTTTACAAGACACAAACTAAGTGTCTTAGCTCAAGCTGCTGTGATATACCACAGACTGATGACTTAAACAACAGAAATTTATTTCTCACAGTTCTAGGGGCCTAGAAGTCCAAGATCAAGTTTCCAACAAGGTAGGTTTCATGAAGAGGCCTCTTCCCTTGGCTTGTAGGCAGCTGGTATCTCATGGTGTGCTCTCTGTGACCTCTGTGTGTGGAGAGAGAGAGGTGGTGTAGGGAGAGGCAGAGAGGGACAGAGAGAGGGAACTCTTTGGTATCTCTTAAAAGGGCACTAATCCTATCAGATCAGGATCCTACCCTTATGACCTCATTTAAAACTTTGATTACTTCTGTGGAGCCCTCTTCTTTAAATATAGTGATACAAGGATTAGAGCTTCAACATATGAATTTCAGAGCGACACAAATATTCAATCCACAAATATTCAATCCATAAAACAAGATAGTAGACATAGAAACATAGATTAGTAGACATAGAAAAGTATATCATCATGTTTTCTCTGTCATCGTATTATTGTATTCCTACCATTTATCAGCAAGCAAAGTAATTCCTAAATGCACCAATTTTATTTAAATACCAGGGTGACCATTGATTCTGGAAGCATAGGTGTGGTAGACAGAATAATAGCCCCCCAAAGTCCATACACTAATACTCAGAGTCATTAGATGTGCTACCCTCCGTGGCAAAAAAGAATTTGCAAATGAGACTAAGGATCTTGAGATGGAGAGATTATCCTGGATTATCTGGATGAACCCAAGGTGATCACAAGGATCCTTACAATAGGAAGGCTGGAGTGTCAAAGATAGAAAGAGGAGATGTGATGAAGGGAACATAGACTGGAGTGATGTGCTTTGGAGATGGAAGAAGAGGTCACGCACTAAGGAATATGTGCAGTCTCTAGACACAGGAAAGGGAAGGAAAGAACTCTCCCCTGGAGCCTCTAGGAGGCAGCTCTGCTGATACCTTGATTTTAGCTTGTCAGACCCCTTATGACCTGCAGAACTGTAAGATAATAAATGTGGGTTGCTTTTTAAAGTCCCTTTATTTATAAATAAAATTCCAAGTATGACACATTGCGTGAATCACTTCTTTTCTCTAAAAGTCAGGTGGAAAAGTGCAATAAATAGGACAAAACTTCCTGAGATTTAAGTGCTGTAGCTCCTATGATGAAGAAGAATGTGTTTAATATATATATAGCAAATATTTTGCTAGATACTTGGCAAATATATTATATGCATATCTATATCCGTGTATAAGCAAATATAATATATATATCCATGTGTAAGCAAAAGATTAGCTATAATAATGTTTAATTCTTCTTGATTTTAGGTGAAATATATTCCTTCATGGAGTTTTGATGACCATTCCACTTGTGTTATTCTTTCTCTTTCCTGAATAGTGTATAGGATTATAATGAATTTCTTTTGCTTTGACATTTATGCAATCTTTCTAAGACACTGTTGGGTC